ACAAACACTTCGTGATAATCCATGATTACTTAATGTTTATGTTACGGATACATATTTGTAATAGATCAGATTAATAAAATTATCAAAAAAAACGAAAATATATCTTTTTATAAATGTTAACATACAATAACATGATTGATAATCAAATTGACCAACATTTCCGCGTAAAGATTTACGTCTTTAAAAAAGACATTCGCTACACGTCTAAAAAGAGACGTCCATAAGACTGGACTAAAAGATGACTTTATAACGTCTGTAAGTCATGTCTTAAAGACGTCTTTAAAAAAGGCATTCGCTACACGTCTAAAAAGAGACATCCGTAAGACTGGACTAAAAGCCGACTTTATGACGTCTTTAAGTCATGTCTTAAAGACGTCTTTAAAAAAGGCATTTGCTAATCGTTTGAAAAGAGACGTCCATAAGACTGGACTGAAAGACGACTTTATGACGTCTTTAAGTCATCAAATCATGTCTTAAAGACACAATTTAGGAACACTATAATGTATCTTTATCTTTAGATCACATGACATAATTAACATTATTTATTTTAACACGATTGAAGTTGTTCTGTAGAAAGTCTGTATAGAGGAAAAAACCGTCATCGATTTGCGTAAGCAAAACAGCTATTTGATAAATTACAATTAAAGTAGGTATTAATTCATGATTCTTTTATCAATCTTGTGTTTTTAATTATTTTTGTTCATAAATTATAAATTCAATAGTTTAGAAAGAGGTACTATTAATAAAACTCACAGGTACGATTTGCTGAATCGTGCTTTTGACAGCATAATGTTACAAAAAAGTTTAGAACAAATTAATTTGTTATTAGTAAAATATTTAACATGTAATAGTAAATGCTTTGAACATCAAGCAATTTCCAACGTTCGTTTACATTCTAAATAGTACCAAATGTGAAATATAACCAAAAATATTTTAAGTGGTACGCATTCGGTAACTCTCCCCTAATCGTCGGTCTTAAAACACAGCTCCTAACTAAATGAATAATAATTTACAAAGCAATTTAATAAATTGATGCTAACAAGCATCTTTTAAATCCCGTGAAATAACTTATTACTAAAAATATATCTTAATCAGGATTTGAACTTACTTTCCTACTAGTACTTTCCAGATAGTAATATGTTTTACTGTTCTATTATCAAGACATGTGACAATATTTTTCGTAATAACTAGTAAATTTAAGAACAACGTCTTTCAACGACGACGTGTAGACAAACAATTATTAATTTAAGTGGAATGTTTCAAATAAGTAAAATGAGAAAACGTCAATAAAGTCAAATCGAATTTTGATCATACTTAATAATATGTTTAAATATTAGTCTTACAATCTTTAATTTAAGCAAACTAATGCAGAATAAGTGGCATATTTGATCTACAAATCAAATATAAATGCAAAACTATAATGTAGAACTATATAAACATTAATTAATTACCTAGTTTCCATCGCTCATGATCTGCTTTAACAAGATCAATTTTATTAAATAAATTTTCTCGTAACATATTCACGTTATCTGAATCAGAAAATCTGCCAGCAATACCAGAAATAACAATTTTCTCGGAGCCAATACCGTTCCACGATGTACATGCTTCTATGTCATTCATGATTTGTAATTATTTTTTCAAATTATCTAGAAATAAAGTAAATTTACGTGTATTTTATACATTTAATTTTTTTACTTATTTCATACTTGTCAATTGTCAATTGGTTCTAATTGTTCGTAACACTAGATCGGAAGAGCACACGTC